GTGCTCCCTTAAAGCAACCATACTAAATGGAGTGTCTCAGATTTACGTACAGAATCATATGAAATGTTTTGAGACCCCGTTGGGCAGTGGGATGGACAGGGGACAGCAGGGTTGAGAGGGGTGGCATAGGAATCTTGAACTTAAAACCCTTTTCAAGTAAACTTTCATGGGTTGGAAAGGCAGTGAGTAAAGAGAAGTGAGCTCATAGAGATCCTATTAAATTACTGCGTGACCTTTTAGATGATGGCCTAATTGACTTTCATCAGGGGGTTATTGGGCTCAGTAGGCCTAATATCCGCCAAAAACATTTGTTATTTAATAACTAATAACCATGAAATAAAATAAAACGTTTGGACCACTTTGTTACTGCCTGTTTGGAATTCACAAATCACAATATGCTACTGAGGCGCATTATTTGCATAGCCTTGGGCACAGGCATCAGATAGGCTATGTAAACTTTATAGGATGGTTACTCACAGATTAATATTATTCTGATCATGGACAGGTTCATTATTACTTATTTTGGACACTTGATTGATAAGTTTCAACTAACTTCCACAATATAATCCACCGTCACAAAGGATGCATTTGGTTCCTGATCACTTGAGACTCACATCCTGTGCTGCTCATTGTTTGGAAGATGGGAAATAAAGCATATCAGGCTATTATTGAGTTAAAAACCTCTCTTAACTACACACAGTTCTCTAGTGGTGACATTTAACATTTTTATATTGAGCAGAAAGTTAATGAAGAAGAGTGTTTTATTGAGCTATAGTGGGTGGGACTGTTGCTGAACTGGCCAAGCTAAATGAGCTAACACATTGGTACTGGACCAGAATGACAGAGAAATAATGACAGTATGTTTGTGTCCCTGAAAGAGAAAGAGAGAGAGATTTTGTCCTCCTCCACTGCCCACAAAATGAGGTGGAAACTGAGCTGCACTTCCTCCTTCCAAATGTATGACCACATTAGAGATACATATTTCCCACATATTACACAGACCCACAAAGAATTTGAAAACAAATCAAACATTGATCAACTCCCATAGGAAAAATACCGTAGTGTGCAATCACAGCAGCAAGATTTGTGGCTCATTGCCATGAGAAAAGGGCAACCAGTGGAGCACAAACACCATTGTAAATACCAGCAATATTTATCTTTCCCTACTAAATTATTTGCACATTGCTAAAACACTGTACATAGCTGATAATATAACACTTGAAATGTCTTTACCTTTTAAAATCATTTTTGAGTGCAATATTTACTGTTCAATTCTAATAGTTTTTTGTTGATGTTTTGTTTCTTCTCACTTTTGTCTATTGCTTATTTCACTTGCTTTGGCAATGTAAACACGTTTCCCATGACAATAAAGCCCCTTTGAATTAAGAGAGAGAGAGAGATAGAGAGAGGCATTCTTTCTGAGGTAGATCGCCATAGGCAAAGAATGGGCAGACACTGAGCCATTCATCTGCCAGTCTAAATCAAATGACTAGACATGATTTACACATCTAAACAAAGCCTCAAAAGCAACCCACCAAAAGTACGTTTTCATATAAATAAATTGCATCCTGAATAGGTACTTTAGCTGCTGGTGGAGCCATTTAACCCTTATAGAAGCATTATTACTATTATAGCATTATTGAAGGCCACTTTCCACTTTTTAGAGACAGATGAATGAGGATGATCACACGTTACTTAGATACACTAGTAAGACAAGGACAGGATATAGGTTTGCATTAATCACACATAAATACACACTTACAACCAGTCAACTGAATTCAATTATCCTTGAATAAAAACATACACCCAAACACCTATCACTAAGCTCAAACACAAGCACACAGACAGTGTGCAGAGCCCAACCTATTCTGATGAAAATGTCATAAAATTGAGAAGGCATAAAAAGATACCTCACCCCTGCCTGAAAGTACATTTAACTAGTACTGAATCTATTCGTCATGCTAACTTACACATTAGGTTAGGCGGTCTCAATCAGTCACATATTAAAAGGTTGTCAGCACCTTCATGTATCCTTATGAGAATTGTGACTATACAAAGCCCTCTTTACAATTCATTTTCACCACAGCTTATACACTTACAGTGGGGAAAAAAAGTATTTAGTCAGCCACCAATTGTGCAAATTGCCAACAAAGGGTATATAACAAAGTATTGAGAAACTTTTGTTATTGACCAAATACTTATTTTCCACCATAATTTGCAAATAAATTCATTAAAAATCCTACAATGTGATTTTCTGGAAAATTTGTTCTCATTTTGTCTGTCATAGTTGACGTGTACCTATGATGAAAATTACAGGCCTCTCTCATCTTTTTAAGTGGGAGAACTTGCACAATTGGTGGCTGACTAAATACTTTTTCCCCTCACTGTATAAAAGTGTAATTCATTATTTGAGTCTTACTTTGATTTAGGGCAAAGTTGATATTTCTCCAAAACCCAATGCTTTTTGATGAATACATACTTTTTCATTTTCACCAGGTGTATAATCAGGCATATCACATGCTAGGGGGCCAACATTGCATCACACTTCACATTTCTATCCAAATGTATATTGTGTCGTAAAGCCTATATGCAAATGGTAATATGAAGACATTGTAACAGGTATGTTAACACACCTTGAAATGTAAGCCTATTGTAGAGGGAAGAAGTAGAGCTATGAATTAAACAGGAATACTACATACTTCAGCTTTTAGCTGTCATTGTACACATTAAAATAACACTAAACTACTACGTGCCTAAGTGGCAGACACTGGCTTTACACAAATGCAGTCTGACGTCACTACAGATGTGTGACAAGGGAGGCTCTCCCATAACTTATTCTGGTTAGATCTTCTCTGTTATCTAGACTCAGATAAGGCTTAATACCATTGACGAAAACTTTTCTTTCATCAAATCAAATTATATTTGTCACGTGCTCCGAATACAACAGGTTTAATGCTTACTTACAAGCCCCTTCCCAACAATCCAGAGTTAAAAAGTAAAAAAATTAATAATAATAAAGCAAATAAGACAAAAAAGGAAATGGTAACACAATCAAATAACAATAACGAGGCTATATACAAGGAATACCGGTACCAAGTCAATGTGCAGGGGTACAAGGTAGTTGAGGTAATATGTACATGTAGGTAGGGGTAAAAGTGACTGGGAAATCAGGATAGATAATAAACAGAGTAGCAGCAGCGTATATGAAGAGTGTGAAGGTGTGTCTATGTGTGAGTGGCGTTAATATGCATGTATGTGTTTTGTGTGTGTGAGGGTATGTAGTGTGTGTTGGAGTGTCAGTGTAGTGTGTGTGTGGGTAGAGTCCAGTGAGTGTGCATAGAGCCAGTGCAAGAACGTCAGTACAAAAAAAAAAGGGGTCAATGCAAATAGTCTGGGTAGCCATTTGATTAACTGTTCAGCAGTCTTATGGCTTGGGGGTAGAAGCTGTTCAGGAGCGTTTTGGTCCCAGACTTGGCGCTTTGTACCATTTGCCGTGTGGTAGCAGAGAGAACAGTCTATGACTTGGGTGGCTGGAGTCTTTGACAATATTTAGGGCCTTCCTCTGACACCGCCTGGTATAGAGGCCCTGGATGGCCCTGATATATAGGCCCTAGTGATGTACTGGGCCGTATGCACCAACCTCTGTAGCGCCTTGCGGTCGAATGCTAAGTAGTTGCCATACCAAGTGGTGATACAGCCAGTCAAGATGCTCTAAATGGTGCAGCTGAATAAATATTTTCAGCCTGCTGAGGTAGAAGAGGCGTTGTCATGCCCTCTTCACGACTGTGTTGGTGTGTTTGGACCATGATAGGTCCTTAGTGATGTTGACACCAAGGAATTTGAAGCTCTCGACATGCTCCACTACAGCCCCGTCGATCAATGCATTTCAGTCCCACCCCTCTGTGTACTTATTCTGAGCCCACTGTATACTATATAGACTACCCATGTTCTGATCTTAACAGTGAATGAAAATATGAGAAAAAGTACAATAGTATACAACTTCATTACAGTGGTGTAAAGTACTTAAGTAAAAATACTTTAAAGTACTACTTAAGTAGTGTTTTGGGGTATCTGTACTTTACTTTTTATATTTTGGACTACTTTTACTTCACTACATTCATAAAGAAAATAATGTACTTTTTACTCCATACATTTTACCTGACACCCAAAAGTACTTGTTACATTTTGAACGCTTAGCAGGACAGGAAAATGTACACACTTATCAAGAGAACATCCATGGTCATCTCTACTGCCTCCGATCTGGTGGACTCACTAAACACAAATGCTTTGTTTGTAAATTATGTCTGAGTGTTGGAGTGGCAATCTGTAAATAAATAAAAGTCTGGTTTGCTTAATATAACACATTTGAAATGATTAATACTTTTAGTTTTACTTAAGTATATTTAAAACCAAATACTTTTAGACTTTTACTCAAGCAGTATTTTACTAGGTGGCTTTCACTTTTACTTGAGTCATTATTTTCTTTTTTTGTCATTTTAGCAGACGCTCTTATCCAGAGCGACTTACAGTTAGTGAGTGCATACAATTTTCAATTAAGGTATCTTAACTTTTACTGACGTATGACAATTAGGTACCTTTTCCACCACTGCTTTATTAACAGTGCCAAGAGCTATGTACAAAGTAAAACTGATTCATAAAAAACTAGACATTTATTTTCCGCATTCACAAATCTGTTTTCAACATTTACACAGCACCAGCTAATGTTACATAGCTAACTGAAAATCAATCACTCCATAACAGTTCATTAGCACAACAGATGTTAAAGGACTGATGCAGCTGTATATTTGAATGCCTTTTGTGTGTAGCGATGTGTACTAGTGCTGTTTAAGTTCATGTATATGAAAAGCCAAGGAAAATACTGTATCCTGTGTGTGTGTTGATTTTCTGAACATTTGGCCATTGTACTGTAAGTTGTTTGGTGATGTGGCATCTTCCCTCCATAGTACTACAGTATGAGGGAGACAAACAGTTTCACTGAATCAAGAGTGGTGCTGTTTGAAGAGTGGTATAGGTACAGTCGGTACCACCTGATTCTGGAAAACAAAGGTCTGAATCCTGTTGAAAACCCAGAGGAAGATAAGCAGCACACTGACGTACTGGATCCAGGCAAATTTGATCATCTCCCAGAACCCAGGCCGATAGGTGGAGGCTCAGTCAAGGAAAAACTGTGTGTGTGTGTTTGCCGCTTTGCAATTAAATATTGAATATAACAATGGTACCATTGCAAAAAATCATATAGACAAAGAGACAATAAGGAAAGTAAACATGGATGTCTGGCTTTTGTGAACTCTCCAAAGCACGTTCATTGTCAAACTGGTTGGGCTGCATCTAACACAAACTAGAGAAAGTAAGTCCTTTCATAAGTCCTTTCATCACACACACAGACACACAATAAAGGATATCTAATAACCTCCACTGGGTAGCGGACTTCAGCATTTATCTGGAAGGGAGTACCAGCAGCTCGACCCATAGTCCATACTGGACTCGGACAGGACAGAAACGTTGTCACTGTGTGAGAAAGAGGAAGTGTGAGAGTGAGAAATAGCATGCCAACACATAAGTGGGCTAATTATGTATAATCAGATACAACTCAACAGTGATCACCTTACAGAAACATGACAAGTGAGAATTTCCACTTACAGTTTCTATCCTGATAGGATCCAATGACGTTCGCAAGATCATATGCGCTTGCAAACGGACTTGCTCCGTCAATTACTGATACCTAGATTATAACAGAGGACAATATAAGTCAAGAAGTACACAAAATATAAGTTAAGTACACAAAGCAGTATTTAAACATCCATTAAGACTCCCGGACGTAAGGTTTGTCACTGTCATGACATATTCAGTTGCACTGAAGTATGACACCAATATTTGGTTTTTGGGAGTATATGCTTGTAGTGTCCATCCTACAATGATGGAGCTTTGTTTAAGTGTATACTTTGTTATAAAAACGGTTGGGGTTGTGAGTGTATGTGTGTAAAGGATGTCACGCTGCTTGCTTAGCGAGTATCACTACCTCCTGATTCGGCTCATACCGATGCTCGAACCCTGAAGCGTCTTACAAAGTCGCACCATCGGAAAGTTAGCTATTCAGCCGCACAAGTGGAGAAACTTCAGACTGAGGAGTGAGTTTCACAGATCCCCATTTCCTACATGTGCTCATTGAAGCCCCAGCAGGGGTAGGTCAAAGTTGCCCCTACCACTAATACAGTGTCAGGTTAAGGGCCATGTCTACAATTAACAATACTTTGTGTTGTGTGGCTGTGTGTGTGTGTGTGTGTGAGAGAGAGAAATGCGGAGAGAGAGAGAGATACAGAGAGAGAGAGAATGTGCCCTCACATTGTATACAGTGTGTAGACCACGGTGTGGAAGTGGGGTTCTCTGCTGGAGCCGCAGATCTCCACTGATGAAGAGCTGAGAGCCAGGAACTGAGGAGGAATGCTGCACAAAGGCCAATGTCTGCATCACCACAGTGGACATTCTCTGCAAAGAGATAAGAGAGACAGATAGAAGTGAAATACAAAAAGACACTGTAGTAGTGAGAGGAACTGTATGGATGTAGTGAATGCATTGGACATCATGTCTGACTGAATGAGGGGGGCGGGGGGGACATACAAACAGCTGGTAGGAGAAGGTGAGTAGTAGCTGGATGCTGTACACTTGCTCATCAGGCCGAAGGGGAAGGTCTAGTCGGAATTTCAAACGGTCCAACTTCCCATCCTGATTCTGGTCTTCCTCTCGCACCTGCACATTCACAACATTCCCAGAGATCAGTGAGTGATCTTTATGTGTCACTCAAGAAACACCATCTTAATAGTACTATTCACACTTACCGAGATAGAAGGAATTCTGAGGTTAGTCCCTTGCATGTTATTAAAATTGGGAAAGGTGCTCCACGCAACATAGTCACCACTGGTGCTTGTTGCTGCAATTATCAGAGCCTTGTACTGGAACCGAACAACAGGCTGCTCTTCATATGTACTCCTCTTCACCCAGAACCCTAAATAGAGCATGGGAATAACATAATATTGTATCAAATCAAAGTGAGTCATCAACAACGAGAACATATAGCTACGGTTAACAATAGAGGAATTGCAACATTGATTTCAATTAGATAGCGATGATAGTATCTTGCTGGCGTTCTACCACCATGAGAAACGTACTAACGGAATAATTCCATAGCTAGCTATTTCAAGACAATCGAGTTCAACTCGAGCTAGCTACCTAAGTTACATTTTTAGGAATTGACTGATGTTACCTTGGCTCCTGTAAGCAACCAGGAGGGGTGGGATGTAGGTGAGACACAAGACAATACCAAGAAACAACGTGGCTTTGGTGCAAACGCTTGTTTTGTATCTAATTGAAGCCGGGTGAGAATAGACTTCATAAAAAGCCATGACGAATAGTTTTTCGCACGTGGTTTTGTCGGCTAGAGTCAGTAGTAGCTACAAGGCTAATGTGGTTACTTTCCAAGAGAGGTCGTGTCGTTGCTAGCTAACGTTAGCTAACACCGACTCCAACATAAATATTTGGGTTGTAGCCAGCTAGTAGCTAAATCCAAAAGCTCAAGTCAGCTCTAGAAAAACAGTTGGTTGTATCATGTTTAGGAGGTCCATCAAGGAAAGTGTTATTGACTTCGAATCGAATTCTCCAAAATGTCGCGCCACTTTGTCTTGCTAGCTTAGAACTACTTCCCGTTGTTTAGCGTTCAGAGGTTACCATGGCTGCAGCAGCTGATTTCAATGCAACAAATCCTTGTTGTACCAAATACTAAACCAAGATAGACCACAGCCTGTCGTTTGCAATGGTAACAAATTAGTCATAGTGGGCAGAACCAAGCATGAGATAGCGAGATCCTATTGGCGTGTTCTAGCAAACATCTGCATATTTCCGTTAGGGAACGCCTACTCTGTGAAGTGCGCGTGTGCAATAACTCAATTCGCCTTCGCACTCCTAAACAACGCGATGTTAAAAAACTTTTGCAAAGGGTCTGCAAAGGGTCCACAAAACTTAGTCCACTCTGTTCATAACATATTCTAGTTTTGGGAACAGAAAACTGTATTGAAATCAAATGTTTCATCGATGAGAAAACTTGCAGAATATCGGCCAAAATCCATCTCGTTCCATCTTCTCCCACTGCCGGCCAGTGGAAACGCCAAGCGGATGCTTCACATTTATGCATCCGATGAAATATCTGTGTCATTGTTCTATTTGTGGTTGTACAGCCACCCCACCTTACAGAATCGAAATGGTACAACCGGACAGTGACATCACCATCACCTCTTTGGGCTAGACGGGCGTTCGAAGGGTTGTAGCTACATTGTTTACATTTTAGTTGTTACATTGTATCGTTTTACATAAAATCGACATTAACCTGCCTTACACGTTCGGGTTTTAAATTCAGCATCACGTCATAGCGCGAGGATTCTGCAAAAATGAAATGGATGTTTAAAGAGGATCATTCCCTCGGTAAAGGGATTTTAATTATGTCACATGTAATTGTCTGTGTAATTTCCTGTACAGATTTCGTTTTCGGTTTTGAGATGCCAAACTGATGATGGCATGAGCAGACTAGATTGCATGTGGGGTACGTCGGGCCACAAATACACAAATAGGGCTTGGAGCTTGCACAAAAAGGATAATATGGTGCATGTATTCATGTACTGGCCTACAGGTTATTCGTTAGATAATGTCTCTTGTAAACACCATCATAACTTTTACTCGAATCACAAGTAGGCCAACGTTACCCTCCCTGAACCTTACTGGTTCCATCAGTAATACATAGTATACATGTATATTAACTAAGAGTAAGTAAGTATAGGGGGCATAATAGCACACTATTTTTTAAAATAAATGAACAGCATTTATTAATTCAGGTTATTACATTGAGAATTCTATATTTTTTTTAACAAAATTGAGAGAGAGAACTGTCCCAACATATAAGCAGTTATAAACTACCAGTTATATGACTAAAAACTGTCATTTTGTCCCCCATTCTAAATGTGTTTTTGAGTACTTTACACTGTTTTCTTATTTTAATGTTACCACTTGATGAAGGATCTGCTCAATTGTGTCTAATTACAGGGCTCATATCTAGGCTAATGAAACTGACAGCATTGAACCTCAATGGAATCATCACACCTATACCGTTTTCACACTATTGTGTCGAGTCCGATCCAAACTGTTCTGTTCTGGCTCTGATATTTTCTTTTCACATTATCCTTTCCAGCTTGGCAACTGTAGTGGATGTGTAAACAGCCCAGTACTGCTCAGCTTGGCTGTACTTGGCTCGCCTCAGTAGTTTGAAAAGGGTTCTAGTGGCATGCATGACATGGCATGTCTGCCAGAAACCAGCTATATAAAGCAAATGGTTTAGCACTAGTCTAGTAAATCTAACATTGAATCATATACAGTGGGGGGGAAAATTATTTAGTCAGCCACCAATTGTGCAAGTTCTCCCACATAAAAAGATGAGAGAGGCCTCTAATTTTCATCATAGGTACACGTCAACTATGACAGACAAATTGAGAAAAAAAAATCCAGAAAATCACATTGTAGGATTTTTAATGAATTTATTTGCAAATTATGGTGGAAAATAAGTATTTTGTCACCTACAAAAAAGCAAGATTTCTGGCTCTCACAGACCTGTAACTTCTTCTTTAAGAGGCTCCTCTGTCCTCCACTCGTTACCTGTATTAATGGCACCTGTTTGAACTTGTTATCAGTATAAAAGACACCTGTCCACAACCTCAAACAGTCACACTCCAAACTCCACTATGGCCAAGACCAAAGAGCTGTCAAAGGACACCAGAAACAAAATTGTAGACCTGCACCAGGCTGGGAAGACTGAATCTGCAATAGGTAAGCAGCTTGGTTTGAAGAAATCAATTGTGGGAGCAATTATTAGGAAATGGAAGACATACAAGACCACTGATAATCTCCCTCGATCTGGGGCTCCACGCAAGATCTCACCCCGTGGGGTCAAAATGATCACAAGAACGGTGAGCAAAAATCCCAGAACCACACGGGGTGACCTAGTGAATGACCTGCAGAGAGCTGGGACCAAAGTAACAAAGCCTACCATCAGTAACACACTATGCCGCCAGGGACTCAAATCCTGCAGTGCCAGACGTGTCCCCCTGCTTAAGCCAGTACATGTCCAGGCCCGTCTGAAGTTTGCTAGAGTGCATTTGGATGATCCAGAAGAGGATTGGGAGAATGTCATATGGTCAGATGAAACCAAAATAAAACTTTTTGGTAAAAACTCAACTCGTCGTGTTTGGAGGACAAAGAATGCTGAGTTGCATCCAAAGAACACCATACCTACTGTGAAGAATGGGGGTGGAAACATCATGCTTTGGGGCTGTTTTTCTGCAAAGGGACCAGGACGACTGATCCGTGTAAAGGAAAGAATGAATGGGGCCATGTATCGTGAGATTTTGAGTGAAAACCTCTTTCAGCATGACAATGATCCCAAACACACCGCCCGGGCAACGAAGGAGTGGCTTCGTAAGAAGCATTTCAAGGTCCTGGAGTGGCCTAGCCAGTCTCCAGATCTCAACCCCATAGAAAATCTTTGGAGGGAGTTGAAAGTCCGTGTTGCCCAGCGACAGCCCCAAAACATCACTGCTCTAGAGGAGATCTGCATGGAGGAATGGGCCAAAATACCAGCAACAGTGTGTGAAAACCTTGTGAAGACTTACACAAAACGTTTGACCTGTGTCATTGCCAACAAAGGGTATATAACAAAGTATTGAGAAACTTTTGTTATTGAGTAAATACTTATTTTCCACCATAATTTGCAAATAAATTCATAAAAAATCCTACAATGTGATTTTCTTGATTTTTTTTCTCTCATTTTGTCTGTCATAGTTTACGTGTACCTATGATGAAAATTACAGGCCTCTCTCATCTTTTTAAGTGGGAGAACTTGCACAATTGGTGGCTGACTAAATACTTTTTTTCCCCACTGTAGCTATCTAGATCACTACTATGTCTGAAACATCAGTTGAAAGTTCACAGACACAGACATATATGTTGAGATACATATACACTACCGGTCAAAAGTTTTAGAACACCTACTCATTGAAGGGTTTTTCTTTATTTTCACTATTTTCTACATTGTAGAATAATAGTGAAGACATCAAAACTATGAAATAAAACATATGGAATCATGTAGTAACCAAAAAAGTGTTCAACAAATCAAAATATATGTTATATTTGAGATTCTTCAAATAGCCACCCTTTGCCTTGATGATAGCTTTGCACACTCTTGGCATTCTCTCAACCAGCTTCACCTGGAATGCTTTTCCAACAGTCTTGAAGGAGTTCCCACATATGCTGAGCACTTGTTGGCTGCTTTTCCTTCACTCTGCGGTCCAACTCCTCCCAAGCCATCATTTTGGTTGAGGTCGGGGGATTGTGGAGGCCAGGTCATCTGATGCAGCACTACATCACTCTCCTTCTTGGTAAAATAGCCCTTACACAGCCTGGAGGTGTGTTGGGTCATTGTCCTGTTGAAAAACAAATGATAGTCCCACTAAGCCCAAACCAGATGGGATGGCGTATCGCTGCAGAATGCTGTGGTAGCCATGCTGGTTAAGTGTGTCACCAGAAAGGCTGGTAACTCTAATGAACTTATCCTCTGCAGCAGAGGTAACTCTGGGTCTTCCATTCCTGTGACGGTCCTCATGAGAGCCAGTTTCATCATAGCGCTTGATGGTTTTTGCGACTGCACTTGAAGAAACGTTCAAAGTTCTTGACATTTTCCGTATTGACTGACCTTCATGTCTTAAAGTAATGATGGACTGTCGTTTCTCTTTGCTTATTTGAGCTGTTCTTGCCATAATATGGACTTGGTCTTTTACCAAATAGGGCTATCATCTGTGTCCCCCCTACCTTGTCACAACTCAACTGATTGTCTCGAACGCATTAAGAAGGAAAGAAATTCCACAAATTAACTTTTAACAAGGCACACCTGTTAATTGAAATGCATTCCAGGTGACTACCTCATGAAGCTGGTTGAGAGAATGCCAAGAGTGTGCAAAGCTGTCATCAAGGCAAAGGTTGGCTACTTGAAGAATCTCAAATATAAAAAAATTGTTTAACACTTTTTTGGTTACTACATGATCCCAAATGTGTTATTTCATAGTTTTGATGTCTTCACTATTATTCTACAATGTAGAAAATAGTAAAAATAAAGAAAAACCCTTGAAAGAGTAGGTGTTCTAAAACTTTTGACCTGTAGTGTATGTACAGTGCATTCGGAAAGTATTCAGACCCCTTCCCTTTTCAACATTTTGTTACGTTACAGCCTTATTCTAAAATGGATTAAATAAAAACAATTCCTCATCAATCTACACACAATACCCCATAATGGCAACGCAAAAACAGGTTTTTAGACATTTTTGCAATGTATTAAAAATAAAAAACAGAAATACCTTATTTACATAAGTATTCAGACCCTTTGCTATGAGACTCGAAATTGAGCTCAGGTGAATCCTGTTTCCATTGATCGTCCTTGAGATGTTTCTGCAATTTGATTGGAGTCCACCTGTGGTAAATTCAATTGATTGGGCATGATTTGGAAAGGCACACACCTGTCTATATAAGGTCCCACAGTTGACAGTGTATGTCAGAGCAAAAACCAAGCCATGAGGTCGAAGGAATTGTCCGTAGAGCTCCGAGACAGGATTGTGTCGATGCACAGATCTGGGGAAGGGTACCAACACATTTCTGCAGCATTGAAGGTCCCCAAGAACACAGTGGCCTCCATCATTCTTAAATGAAAGA